CAGGATGGTCTCGATCTCCTGACCTCGTGATCCGCCCGTCTCGGCCTCCCAAAGTGCTGGGATTACAGGCTTGAGCCACCGTGCCCGGCCTTTGCTAAGTTTTTAAAGCCACATCAATTGGCTCAAAGTCCTTGATAAACAATTAAGGTGTGAGAACAATATATAGATTTTAAAACCAAATGTATAATATTCTAGTTTTAAAAAATATTTTAATGATCATCAGACATAATTTGTAATTTGAATCCAACTCTGAACAAGAAAAATGAAAAAACCCATATCTTAAACAGAGCTAGGGTACTTTATTTATTTTATTTTATTAAAAAAAATTTTTTTTTTTGAGACGGAGTTTTGCTCTTGTTGCCCAGGCTGGAGTGCAATGGCGCAGTCTCGGCTCACCACAACCTCCACCTCCCAGGTTTAAGTGATTCTCCTCCCTCAGCCTCCCAAGTAGCTGGGATTACAGGCACGCGCTACCATGCCTGGCTTATTTTGTGTTTTTAGTAGAGATGAGGTTTCTCCATGTTGGTCAGGCTGGTCTCGAACTCCCAACCTCAGGTGATCCACCTGCCTCAGCCTCCCAAAGTGCTGGGATTACAGTTGTGAGCCACTGCGCCCGGCCTAGGCTACTTTAAACACAGGAATAAGGCAAATGTCCTACTCAGTAATGAGAAGTTCCTCACGTAACTGTTTCTACAACATAGCTATCACCAGGCCTGAATTCTTTTGGGGTCAGAATTCGTTCTAAGAAATGGCTATTATTAAAAAATCAAAAAATAACAGATGCTGGCGAGCCTGTGGAGAAAAGGGAATGCTTATACATCTCTGGTGGGAATGTAAATTAGTTCAGTCATGTAGAAAGTAGTTTGGTGATTTCTCAAATAACTTAAAAAAGAATTACCATTTGACCTAGCAATCCCATTACTCAGTATATACCCAAAGGAATATAAATTGTTCTGCCATAAAGACACATGCACACACATGTTCAGTGCTATACTATTCACAATAGCAAAGACATGGAGTCAACCTATATGCTCATCAACAGTAGACTGGATAAAGAAAATACAGTACATATACACCATGGAATACTACACAGCTATAAAAAGAATGAGCTTATGTCCTTTGCAGTAATACAGCTGAAGCAAACTAACACAGGAATGGAAAACCAAATACTGCATATTCTCACTTATAAGTGGCAGCTAAACATTGAGTACATATGGACACAAGGAAAGGAATAGATGCCTGGGGCCTACTTGAGGTTGGAGGTGACAGGAAGATGAGGATAGAAAAGCTACCTATCAGGTACTATGCTTATTACCTGGGTGATGAAATAATCTGTATACCAAACTCCCAAGACATGCAATTGACCTATACAACAAACCAATATATGTGCCCCTGAACACAAAATAAAAGTCAAAAAAAAGAATTTGCTTTAAGAGTTAACTTTTAAGATGTCAATATCCCAATTGGGCAATTATTTCCACTGTCTTTAGTCCCTAACTTTTGGTACAGGTCTACTTTCTAGCAAAGAGCAGAGCACAGAATGTATCAGAAACATGGATAGATAAGTTGGGTGGTGGGGTCCGTTTGGAGCTGGGGCTCATAGCCTGGGGACAGAAGGGAGTATTGATCAGTTCCTTCCATGGGTATGCAAAGCACCCTAAATTGCCTTAATAATAATGAACACGGCATGATACATTTATAGCCAAATGTATATGTGGTAGTGTTTCTCTTTGGTTTAAGTATCTTGAGAATAGTCACTGCCCTGCCCTGGGTACTGACATCATTCCTTTTTTTTTTTTTTTTTTTTTTTTTTTGCTTTTTAGTCCAATGTGCTGTGGGAAACAAGAGGCAGGATGTTTGCAGGTAGATGGAGGCAGGGGACTGGGAATTTCTGCAAGGTGATACAAATAATGGGGGCCAGGCATGGCAGCTCATGCCTGTAATCACAGCACTTTGGGAGGTCAAGATGGGAAGATTACTTGAGGCCAGGAGTTCAAGACCAGCCTGGGCAATATAAGAAATAAAGGAGCTTAAAGACAAGGCCCTTTAATTTCTCAATAAAAGTTCCATTAAGAATATCCCAAAGTTGACTGAACTGACAGACAGACACTGTGTTTTTTTTCTCTAGCCTTAGGTAGGCTTGGGGGCATCCAGTGTGCCTTTGGTGGGTAGTTTGGGGTGAATCTAAAATCTAGAGACCTGGGATAGGCAGACAAATGAAAGGTGAGAGCTCTTGGAGTCATGCAGAAGTTGTCCTCTGCCCTGGATCCTTACTGTACTGATAACAGAGCAGGAGCCCTGTATATACATGCTGATTAAATTTACTACATCAAAAATTTCCATCTAAAAATAATTTTCTCCTTAGTGTCCTGTAGACACCAAACTTTGAATTACACAGAGATAAAAACCCAGCGATCAAGACTTCTACTCCCTCACCTCCTATATCAGATGATTTCCTGAAACTGAAAGGCCTTTACTGATAGCACGCAATGAAGGAGGAGAATGTTGGTGAGTGAGGGAACCAAGTATTTTTTTTCTCAAATACAGTTCTGTATATCTACTTGGACCTCTGTTTCTCTGAGTTATAAAGAAAGAAGCTGCTTCAGACATTACCTGTGGGAGCCACTCAGAATCTCCCAGCGCTTTCAGGAAGGTCACTTCTGAGTCAGTAGGGATGGTGCTTGGGATACAAGCCCTCATCAGCTTCTTAAAACTGGCTTTCACTTGCCGGATTTCATGAAATTCAACAGGAACAAACTCACAATTTAAAGCAAATTCTACCTTGAAGTTCTGTGGATGAAGATTCAGAGAATCAGGCAGATGAAGTGCTATAGGTAAAAGAGTGATGTTTCCAATGGGGCAGTGCATAACGGTAAACAGTTAGTTGGGGCCAAATAGCTGCAGAGGCTGCCAATGGGTCAAAAGAGTCAATCTTGTATGGCAATGTGTCAGTGTTGATTGGAAGAGCCATTCAGTACAGTCTAGTGGTTTGCCTAGAATGGCAAATCTAGTCCTTACTAGAGGTAGATTACTTAGCCTAAGAGTGCTCTCATTCTGAGAACTGGAAGAGACTACTGGTAGACTGGAACTTGATGGAGCTTATAATACCAAATATAAGTCAATTATAAGGCCATGAACCCGGAACTTTAAAGAGCAACTAACGATACATGGACAGTATGACTACTCCAATAGTGTAAACTAAGTCTTCCCAAGATGTATATGGGAAAGGATAGGTAATACACTGTTGGAGTTCCAGACTGTACATGTATTAAAGTTTGTAGATATGCACATATTTGTTTCTTATTATGCAAGTAAAACATATTCATAATAAAAATGAAAAAAGGTAGAGATAAATATTGAGAAAGAAATAAAAATCACTTTCTTGCTGCCCCAAGACTACCAACATTGTGGTGACTTTTTGTTTGTTTGAGATGGACTCTCACTCTGTCACCCAGGCTGGAGTGCAGTGGCACAAATCTCGACTCACTGCAACCTCTGCTTCCTGGGTTCAAGGGATTCTCCTGCCTCAGCCTCCCAAGTAGCTGGGACTACAGTCGTACACTACCACGCCCAGCTAATTTTTGCATTTTTAGTAGAGATGAGCTTTCACCATGTTGGCCAGGATGGTCTTGATCTTTTGACCTTGTGATCCGCCCACCTCGGCCTCCCAAAGTGCTGAGATTACAGGTGTGAGCTACTGTGCCTGGCCCTACTTCTTAAAAGTCAATAATAAAAAATTACATGGCTGGGCGTGGTGGCTCATGCCTGTAATCCCAGCAGTTTGGGAGGCCAAGGCAGGCAGATTACCTGAGGTCCGGAGTTCAAGACCAGCCTGGCCAACATGGTGAAACCCCATCTCTACTAAAAATACAAAAAGTAGCCAGGTGTGGTGACGGGCACCTGTAATCCCAGCTACTTAGGAGGCTGAGGCAGGAGAATCACTTGAACCCCGGAGATGGAGGTGGCAGTGAACTGAGATGACACCACTGCACTCCAGCCTGGGCAGTAGAGTGAGACTCCACCTAAAAAAAAAAAAAAAAAAAAAAAAAAAAATTACATAAAAAAACCATGAAAGGCTTTGTTCATTTCTATCTTTGGGATAACATTTTTTCACTTAATATTATATATGTATCAACCTATATTTATTTGAGTACTTTCTCATTTACATCTTTAATCCATATGGAATTTGTGTGTGGTATGAGTGTTGCATTTGTAATTAAAGAATGCTATACTGATGGCCTACTGGTATATTTCATTTTAATAACCTAGCTGTGAAGATTTAAAAGTCCTCTAACTTTTCATGCCAAAGAATGAATTAATTTTCTCAAAATGTTTCCACTTTCTTTTCATTTTGCCCAAATTACTCTACTGGACCATCTGCTTTTTCTAAGAGTAAAACTGCTTTCTGGAGATTGGTTGCACAACAACGTGAATGTACTTAATAATACTGAGTCATATATTTAGAAATGGTTAAGATGGTAAATCTTGTTATGTGTATTTTATAATTTTTCCTTTGTCTTAATAATTCCATTTTAAGGAAGCTACTCTGAGGAAATAATCTAATCGGAAAAAAACCTCTGGGAATGGTATCTCAATAAAAAAAATAACAAAATAACCTATTTGCTTAGAATTGTGACTGTCATTTTATATACAGAAGATAAAGAAACCTAAACAACAATACGGGTTGAATAGTGACTAAAATAGTTATGCAGACTACTATACGACATGGAAACATGATGTTAAGGCTTCAGATAAAGAACCTAGTGATATACATGAGTTCCTTTCTATTATTTTAAAAAACTTATAATAGACAAAACATAGTTTACTTTTCAGGAAAGGTAGATTCCTATTTCCCAACGATACATAAGCTAGGTATGCCTATCTTAGAAGCCAGGAGTTACTAACCAAAGTAGTGAGACACTCCATTAGGTTGGAAGGAATTTGTTCCCAATAATCAAGTATTAAAGTATGTGAATTTACCTAGGTAAAGGTCAAATTCAAGATTATTTTCAGAATAACTCACTGTAATTTATTGACTTTCCTTTATGCTTCTTTGTTGGGAGAAAAAGGTATGGAATTGTAACTGGATGGCATTGTGCTAGCTAGAATGTGGCACATATCAGACAGATACAGAGCCGTATTCTACACACAAAATCGAATAAAAGATAAAACCTGAATGGAATATATAAAATTGCTGACAACTACTGTGCCAGAATGGTGGGATTACATTTTTAAAAATAATAATACTTGGCCAGGCATAGTGGCTCACGCCTGTAATCCCAGCACTTTGGGAGGCCAAGTGGATCACGAGGTCAAGAGATGGAGACCATCCTGGCCAACACGGTGAAACCTCGTCTCCACTAAAAATACAAAAAAAAAAAAAAAAAAAAAAGCTGGGCGTGGTGGCGCGTGCCTGTAGTCCCAGCTACTCGGGAGACCGAGGCAGAAGAATCGCTTGAACCTGGGAGGCGGAGGTTGCCGTGAACTGAGATCATGCTACTGCATTCCAGCCTGGCGACAGAGTGAGACTCTGTCTCAAAAAATTAAAAAATATATAATAATGATACTTTATTGAGGAAGGACAGACAGAAAGAAAAAAGAGAGGGAAGGAAAAAGGCAGCATCCCAACTCTTTCTTACTCAAATACGTATGATCACACAGCTAATCTGAGAAATCATGTGCAAAGAGAATGGCAGAGGGGAGTATTAAGGAGCTAAACCTTGGAGAGTGATTCAGATCACGAGTAAGTGTTGTGCTGAAGCATGGAAAGTCTGTGCTCTGGAAAAGACACTGGCACCAGCAACCCTGGATTGCTGTAGAAAAGTGTTCTATTTTCTGGATATAAAATTATTTACTGTATCAGAAGACAAATATGCAGATTTAAAAATCGAGCATTACCCAGCAGTTTTATGCCCTCTACCCTAAAGGCTGATGACTAAGTGGTTGCAGCAGTCCAGGCAGTGGGAGAAGAGCTAGCAAAGCCACCAGCCTGCTCCAGAAGAGATGACTCAGTTACTGGCGTCTTAAGGGCCAAGCATGTGGGATCTTGCTAAGGGCACCCTGCTCACAGTTTCTGCTCCAGGGTTCAGCCAGAGGTCTGTCTAGGTTGTCCAGTGCCAACTGGAGCACTGGACTAAACGTTGAGATTTCTGAGTTAACAGGTAACTTTCATGTCCTATACACCTATTCGTGGTAATGAAATTTATTTTGTAATGCGTGACTTGCAAAACATTAAATTCAAGGAATTATTGTTGCTTTTGGAGGAAAAGACCATCTTTACAATTTATGGGCCCTCAGCATGGTGAAGCTCTTTAGCACAACAACTTAACAGTAAGAATACAGTTGATTAGCATCTAGTATTTTGAATTTTCTGACATGTCTTAGGACATGTGTCTCTTTCTGTATAGCCTTGAGAAGTTTTAACAAGTGTTACTCAGAAAGTCTAGACTTGGCCTTGCCTTGCCTCCATACGTGGCACCACAGTCTTCCTCTCTCCATTCTTCTGTCTTTCTGTAGCCTTTTTTATCAGTAGGTTTACAACAACAAAACTATCTGTTTTGCCATGGGCAGATTCCTGTGGAAAGTGAATCAAGGCTGTTGAAAACACAGCCTGATGAAGCCTTATTTCTTTTTTCGTATGTACACTTCCTAGTATTCCTAATGTTTATGTTGATTTTTTACTGTCATGAATAAATACTTATTTTCGTGGCTAATAAATATGCATATGTATATATGTGTATGTTATCTATATAAAAATTAATATATATAAATAAATTCAAAAAGAGAGCTAAATTTTTTGAGATTATTAACTCCAGGTTAAGAATCATGCTATAAAAAAAATTCTAGCAAACCTGGTTTGTGATACATGTTTTATAAACAGCTCTAGTGCATCCACAAAGTTTCTAAGTGAGAAAAAAGAAATCTTACCCTTAGTTGCGACTTTTCACCAAATATGTAAAGGGCTGCTTGCCGTTTCAAGAGCTGGTTTTGTAGGTAGGTGCTGTTACTGAAGGAGGCCGAATGGTCCTTGCCTGCCAGCCGGGCGCCAACATCAATGAAGGATGTTGGAGAGCTGATCAAGCGAGTGCTAGAGCGAAGACTTGCCCACACACCTTCACGAAAGCCAAAGTCATGGAGTGAGATAATCTAATGTGGGAATACCACTGACTAAGGAAAAAGGTGCATGCTCTGGAGCTACAATTTTAGAGGTCATAGCAAGTTGATTAATCTAAAAATCATAAGTCATATGGTCATTTGCTACTTCTGTAACATAAGCATTATCCAATATAGCATTTCAAAATCACAGAATCTTAGCCTCAGAATGACCTACCAAACCCCCCAAATCAATCTTATTTTATATTTTGATGTAAATTCAGGATTTAAAAGTAAATACTAAGATCATAAGTAGAAACAGTACATTGACACTGAAAACAAAACAAGCTGGCAGGAGGTACTAATAAAGTCTAGCAAGGCAAATGCTGAGTTACTCAATTTCTCAGGGCTTCATGAAAAAAGTAAGGAACATTCTTCTGCTTATTTGGTCAATTTCACATGACATTTAAAGATATAAAATAGAAACTTCTAAGTCTACTAAAATCTGAAGCTGGATTTGGAATTAATATTTGTATATCATGCCAAAATGATGTAATTCTAAACAAGATTATATTATAGTTTTTTTTTTCAGTATCTGTGAAGAATGAGAAATTATAAATTTAGTAATGGGCACAGCGCCTCATGCCTGTAATACTAGCACTTTGGAAGGCCAAGGTGGGCAGATTGCTTGCGCCCAGGAGTTTGAAACCAGCCTGGGGAACATGGTGAAACCCCATCTCTACCAAAACAAAACAAAACAAAAAACAAACGCCTATAGTCCCAGTTACTTGGGAGGCTGAGATGCGAGGATCGCTTGACCCCCAGAGGTGGAGGTTATAGTGAGCCAAGATAGCGCCACTACACTACAGACTGGGCAACAGAGTGAGACACTGTCTCTAAAATAAAATAAAATAAAAATAAATGAATAAAATGTACAGTCAGAAGCAGATACCTTTATTTTATTTTATTTTTTTTGAGACAGAGTTTCGCTCTTGTTGCTTAGGCTGGAGTGCAATGGCATGATCTCAGCACATCACAACCTCCACCTCCTGGGTTCAAGAGATTCTCCTGCCTCAGCCTCCTGAGTAGCTGGGATTATAGGCATGCACCACCATGCCCGGCTAATTTCGTATTTTTAGTAGAGACAGGGTTTCTTTATGTTGGTCAGGCTGGTCTCGAACTCCCAACCTCAGGTGATCCGCCCGCCTCATGCCTCCCAAAGTGCTGGGATTACAGGCGTGAGCCACCACACCCAGCCAGAAGCAGATATCTTCTAAGAGAAAGGGCAAGCTAAAATGCTAGAAGAGTCTCAGTGAGATAAGTTGACCTTAGTTATATTAATTAGAAAAATCAAGGATTTCTATATGCAAGTGAGACTATTAAATATCAAATATCCAGACACAAAGGCATACACTAATTCTCAAATTTGACTAGCACTGTATCACCTTCAAATCAAGAGGCCCTCATAAATGCCTGTAGAACTGTGGTGTTTATCTCAGTGATGGGGTCACAGGGATATAGGACTTTCCTACTGCCTCCCTAAAGTGGGTTTTCCTCTTTAGATCTAGAAAGCCTGTTTGAGAAGCTTTAGTCTTTTCCCACTATTAAATTGAAGTCATGTTTCTAGGTGACCAGAAGTCACCATGATAATGTCACCTCTGCTTCTCTTTCTCTTTATAAGCATTTATGGGGTCAAGAGACCAGTTCCCAAGAAAAGTTTTTATGGCTCATTTCAGCTTCACATGCATGAATCTTTGAGACAGAGTTTCACTCTTGTTGCCCAGGCTGCAGTGCAATGGCACGATCTTGGCTCACCACAGCCTCCGCCTCCCGGGTTCAGGTGATTCTCCTGCCTCAGCCTCCCGAGTAGCTGGGATCACAAGCGTGCCCCACCACGCCCGGCTAATTTTTGTATTTTTAGTAGAGATGGGGTTTCACCATCTTGGTCAGGCTGGTCTCAAATTCCTGACCTCAGGTGATTGCCTGCCTCAGCCTCCCAAAGTGCTGGGATTATAGGCGTGAGCCACGACGCCTGGCTGCATGAATCTTTCTATGTAGTTTATGAGTTTTTCTTAGACATTATGGCAATTATTAATTTTTTTGTAAATGGAATCGGAGGAAATTCAGAATGTAGATGAGAATAAAGGATATAATTTTACAAATGCAAAAAAATTACTTGTAACATATGTAGTTTCACATGAAGATGGTTTAAAAGAGTGACATATCAGGACACATAATACAGTACCTTGATTATGGACTCTTCCCTTAGCTGAAGATTTGGGATTTGACTGAGTAAAACATTTATCTCTGTACCCATGCACTGGTAGGTAAGATTAAAGACAGAAAGAGAAATAAAATGTATATAGTAGCAAATGTCAGAGCAGATTGAGTAAGAGAAGAATAGGCTACTTAATTTTTAAAATTAACGGGAAAAATGTAAATATAATAAAAGTAGAAGATTTAATTAACAAACAAAAAGCTGCAGTCACAAAAAAAAGATGCATTGAGTACCTGTTAAATGAAATTTCAGCACCTGTTTATAAATACTGTAAGCACAATGAAATGGACAGCACACAGCAGAAGGTGCCACTAAAAAATTATACCAAATGGAATAAGCTTTTAAAGATTATCAGTCAGTCAGAAACAAATTTATATAATAAAATTAAGGAATTTGGGGTGTGTATGTGTAAATGTTAGGAATACACTGGTCCTCATATTGAAGGAGACTGGCGAATGCTGTGTGTTGTACAACACATTTGTTCTTTGAGCAAGGTCATCACACCAGGAAACAATGAAGCTCTAGCAACCATTTGGAATAACTAAGGGCATATTTTTGCAGTAGAGCATTAAGCATTGCCACGCTATCTTCCTTCTCTTTTCATTTGGAAATTACATTTATTTTCTATAAATACTTATGAGCAGCAAAAATTCATAACCCTGTGACAATACCCAATACCACTAACAATACAGCTTGTGATGACTGATGTAATGACGTCTCTTAAAATCCCTACTTGCACCAAAATGATAGGCAGTATTAGAGATAATAGTTTTGTAATTTGAGTAATATATTTTTTCCGACAGAAAGAAAGGAGTTTATGATGATGGCACACCAAAAATTGTGAGCAGTTTTAGCACTTTCCAAGCAAACAAATTGCTCAAGTCAATTAGAGGAAATGATTTTATATTTATTCAGTCAGGATTGCAATCTTTAATAGTAGTATTAAGTTATACAATGCAAAATTGTGTAACATATGACATAACAAAAATCATTCGAAGTGAGTTTTCATTCCCACTTCACTTCTTTAGAAGCAGAAAATGAAGGGCACTGATGGCTCTGGTGGTCAAAGGAAGTCAGAAAGTAAGGGCTGCAGAGGTGTTGGCTGATGACACAGAATGTGACTGCGAGACAGAACAAAGGCTTGGGACGACATGGCCAAGGCACACTGTGTGGCCTCCTCTGTGTTGGCTGACTGCTCTCCTTTCTGCCAAAATTTTGAACTTTCCTATTGAAAATGGGACACTAAGATGATGATAGTGATACTTGAGTAGTTCCTGATTCTGAGATACAGCTTCCTTAACACATCACACTTTCTTACGCTAGTCTTATTGCCTGGAATGATTTCTCCCATTTCCTTACCTGACACATTCCTACGTAACCCTTAAGATCCAGGTACAATGTTAGTACCTCTTCAAGGCATTCCTGACTGCTCCCAAACTGGGGAGCTCTATTTGAACTTTGATCACATTGCATCATGATTATCTGCATATTCTTTCACTCTACAAGATTGTGTGTGTGAAAGGAAAATAAAAACTCAGGACTCCAGTTCACTATGCCAAAAGGAAAAAATTAGGCTGAAAGCTGAGACATACAAGAAGCTGCTTTTCCTTTTGTTCCTAAACAAACAGCTACAGTTAAAAGGTTAAATTTATCCACAGATAGCTACTGGTATGTTCACTTTATCTTATAGACAAATACATAATTGACCATTCTCCTACCTGCTCCTTTTTTCTTGCAACATGTGGATTACTATACCCTCCCTCTTTCTCATTTAAATATTAAAGCCCTCAAAATCATTGTTGGAGAAAGGCACAGACCTGTCTCCAGGGTGAGTCCTTAACCTTGGCAAAATAAACTTCTGAATTTATTGAGATCTGTTTCAGGTACTTTTTGGTTTACATGTGCTAGTGAGGGCAAGCACCCAATCATGTTTATTCTTGTATCCATGCTGACAGCCTGAAATACAGGCACTCAAAGAATTTGTTGATTATTTACTTTTTGCAAACCAATACATTGTGAGCTGTTGTGACTCATTATTATACCTTCAACCCAATTATTTGCACTGAAAGAGTGAAAAGAGGGGTATTAAACAAAAAATAGTAAGAACTCCCCCAAAGAAGGGCTCATCAATGAAAAACTGCCAAGTTTTGGCCAATTAGTAGAAAATCAGCAATGATAAAATGGCCAGTACTGATATGGGGCCAGCAGGGGGCTTTGAGAATTCTAATTCCATCTGGAAGTCATTTTAACCAAAGGAATTAGACTAGCGCATTGGTTGTTGGTGGTGAGGTCTACTTAGATTTCCTGAATGATTTCTAGATGTCCTGGGCACTTAACACCAGCAAAGGGTCTCAGGCAGTGTTTTTCCAAACTGCAGGATCATCCTTAGTGGCTTGGGAAGTCACTCTAATAGGTCAAATCAGTATTTTTTCCAAAATTAAACATTACAGTTGAAAATACTAATGAGCACTGCATGTGGTACGGATGAATATTGTTTCACAAAACTTTTGTTTTAGTGTATATATTATACATTTTGCATGTGCCTTAGTACTACCTGAATTGTGATATAAAATGAATGGGTATGTATACATATAAATATAAAATACATTTCTTACTGTGAGTCATGATCAAACAAGTTTGAAAGTCACTGGCTAGACCTAGGGCATATGCCTTCTATCTCTTGCCTTAGATCAGTCAGGCTCAAAGCAATTTAAATGCAAATGTCAACTTTCTTCCCATTTC